AATATAAATACAAAATGCTAATTCATAAATACTTATCTCCGAAGCTTATTTACAATTAATTACCTAATACCTTTTTATTCATATTAATTTAATCTGTAAATATAAAAATAATTTATTATTGTTAATTAGTAGAATTAAAATTATGACCATAAAATACTAATCATAAATATATATCATGAACTAACTATTCTTGAATTGCTTTGAAATTACTGACTCATCCGTGCTGTTAAAATTACTAGCTCTATACTTTTTTAATTAATTACCTAATACCTTTTTTATTTGCATTAATTTAATCTATTATTATAAAGATGATAATTAACATTAATCAGAGAAATTAAAAATATAAACATAAAATACTAGTTTATAAATACTTATCTCTAAATATTTATTTTTAATTGATTATATTATACCCTTTTTATTCACATCAATTTAATCTGTGAGTATAAAGATGATTATTAACGTTAATCAGTGGAATTAAAATTATATATATAAAATACCAATTTATAAATCCTTATTTCTAAATACAGTTAATTAGTTTAGCAAATTTTGTTAAAAAAGAGTATAGTAGTTTTATGAAAGATGGTTTGGAAAAAGTAGTTTTGCTGACAATTAGAAATCAGGAGAAGTATCTCAAAAAAAATGCTATCAGCTTACACTAATACCATTAAATAATCTCATTCATAATATTGGAGTGCAAATTAGTTATTTGAGAAAATGAGCCATCAGATAACAGAGATTGCTAAGCAATAACTAAGGTATCAAAAAAATATCTTTAATCCAAACCCTGAATACAACAAATGCATTAATATTTTATTTTTACTAATTTATAGAGCTATAAGAGTTTTTATTTAAAAAAAAAGCTAAAATACACACTTTATCTATTGCTATAATGTTCTATTTTTAATATAGTATTTAAGTATCACGTTTAATTTTATTCTAGAAGCAATTTACAAATCTACAGATCTAATAATCTTGTTTAAACAGGCCTGTTAATCTCAAATAAACTATTTTTAGATTGTATTGATTTTGTGTAATAAAATAGTTTTTGCCAATTTTCTCAAACCCTGTGATTAGACAAATTTCCTAGTTTCTACTTTTGGAACCTCACTTGCTTCTTCTCTTTAATATTTACAACCCTGAACTGAATTGGCTATTTGGTACAAAGTCTTTCCCTGATGTGTAATATTTATAGTACCAGTTGTGTGAATAAATAAAAGAAAACTGGTGTTAAATTAATACATTTGTGGATGATACAAAAGAAAAGCAGTATTAAATCAGTATTATGTGGAATATATGAAAAAAGAGCAGAATACAAAGGTTGTTTTGTATTAGAAAACTAATAATAATTATTAAAAAGGAACAAAAGCCAATTCAGCCTGTGTTAAAACAATATAAAAAAGTGCAAGAAATGAATTCACAGTATGTTGAGTTAAACTTAAATAAAAGAAACAAAAACTAGACCCATTTTATGTTGAGTCAAGATTTTAAAAAACAATAAAGAATAATGATGATGAAAAAAAAATAATTAAACAAATGAATAAGTTAACAAATGAATTAACAAGTAGATAGCTTAACAATAACCTGAAATAAAGAATTAGTGAATAATGATAATCAACTCATAAATAAATGGTTATATAAACAAGCGAACAAAATGTTAGACAAAAAAACAAATCTGGATTTGTTGAATTCTGAGTACTAGAAGTAATGATAAATTCTTGAGATTCTACTTTGAATCAAATGAATAATGACAATCTAGATCAACCAATGAGCCTGACTCATATGAACTTGCCATAGGAATGATTTCAAATCATGATGAATGTTTTGTCAAGGCAACAAAGATCCCAATTGAATATATGAGAACAAAACTTCATGGATATATCTGTTTTTACTAGAAGTAATCAAAACTCTACAAAGTAGTTAGAGTCTATCGATAGGGCTTTTGAGACCAACAATATTGTAGGAAAAAGAAGGCTTTTTGTTGTTGGTATTTATCTTTCAGAACTTGCAACATTTTGGTAGATAGATCAAAGGAATAAAGAACCAAAAATTTAATATTAAAATAATGAATTCATCTCTGAACAAAGCTTTGTACACCAATTCTACACCAAATTTTGTACATATGTCTTGATAACTTAGTAGAATACAGAACTCTTAACATGATAGCAACATATAGATAAAATGGTAGATCAATATATGACTAATATGTTGGTGTTATTTCGATATATAATGAAAGTAGGCAATCAAAACTCTAAGATAATAAAAGTACAGATGTTTGTACAAGGTCTCTGTTCTGATTTGCTCTTGGCTATTAGATCTTTTATATCTAATACAATTCAAGATGTTATCAATAGAGCTTGGATGTGTGAACTGGTATTTGTCCATGAATTAGCTTTTGTAAACCTGCAGCAATCTATAATACAATATCTAGATCATTGTTTCAATAATTGTATTCACAACAACAATAAGTATTATAGCTGTAGTAGCTTCTGCAACCTCAAGTGCCAATACAACAATCGATAGTGCTATAGTCACAACCACCAGTAATGAATTTGCTATTCAATACAATATTTTCAAATTCAATAGACCAGATGATTTTGTTGCTACAAAAGGTAGTGATAGTAGTAAAAAGCAGCAATAATAATCATAATAATAGTAGTTGTTCTGCAGTCAATAAGAATCATAGAAAAAGAAGTAGCTGTGGACTAATCTGTTTCTCATGTCAACAACTAGATCACTTCACAAGAAAGTACCCAAATGTGGTTTAGTAAGCAAATAATAATAGAAGTGTTCTACAAACCACAAATTTTGTAAATAGAAGCAATCTGAGAAATAGCAATAATAATTCAGCAAATGAAAGATATCAGACCCAGGCTATATTAGTTCAAATAGAGAAGTTCAGATATTTGGATATACCTTTAGAAGATGATGACAATTGTAATAATAATGAACCCCATTTAGAAATGAACTTGTAGAAAAAAACAATCATGAAGATAGAATTAAAGTTGAAAAAGGCCAATCTAAGGCACCTGTTTATTACAAAAATCAGCAAGAATTGACCACGAATCGAATATTCTTGATGATAGCTTTTGTAATAATACTAGAGCAGAAGTGGATGAATATAAGGTATCTAGTGATTCTCAAGAACCTGTCATTCCAGATTATGCCATAACAAAGATGACATTGAACTTTGTTATCAGAATGAGACTAATATCAAAAATAAAAAGCCTATATTACCTGTTTATGATCAAAAATCTGCAGAGATAGAGGATAGAATTATTAAACCCAATACATCTGAAAAGACTAAACATGAAGTTTTTATTAAACACCAAGAACTATGTGAGATGGGTTTTATTAATAAAATATATAAAAAATTAGCCAAAGATATCCAGAAAGAATTAGAATATTTTTTAAATTTTGCTGAAGGTAATGACTTAAATAAACAAAACATTCTTGAATAGTACTACCAAGACAGTATAGATACAATCAAAGAAAATTCAGATATAAAAACTTTAAGGACAATATCATTTATCACCTGATTATTTTTTATCAAAGACTTACCCCTCCACCTCTTAATATAAAAAAAAATTAGGTTCTTATATATAATTTTAACTTTTTTACCCCCTCTTTCTAAAAAATTATCTGATTTTTGTTATGTTTCTAAATAAAAATGATTGTGAAACATTAGTTGGTGAAAATGGTAACATTAAAGAAAAAAATAAAAAGTAATCTATCTAAAAAACTTTTGGAAAAATAACCCTGCAATGAAAATATGAAAATTAGATAAAAAAA